AAATTCTCTGGTTCATAAAGACATATTTATAACTTATTTTTGCAACGCCCCCTTTCGTACATTGGACTTTTGCCAAGCAACTCTTGATAACAGTTATTATTTTTCAACATTGATATTTCTATTGAAATGCTAATTATAATTTAAAATATGTTAAAAAAAAAATCAGTGGCATTTACCCGCTGGCGAACAATATTTTAAGTTTTGAACACATGGAAAAGCTTTTGTTTTTTCTACAGTCTTATAAGCAACTCTGTAAAAATCTGTAAATAAACAGCTAAAGTTAGCAAGACTAAAGGACTATTTCAGCAAAATATGAGCGATTGGCACAGATAGAGCTTAACTAAAACCAACCATGTGTTAGCACAGAAATATCAAAACGCAGCAAAACAAACCATTTGGAAAATCCACCTAAGCCTCATTCTTTAATGTAGTATTAGATTCTGTGGCACAGAGTTGACTGCGTAATCCAAAGACTCACAGGAAGAGCTACAGTAGGAACCTGTTTAGACACAGCAGACCACAAATGGGATTTGTTTGTGATGACATCAAGTTCAAACAAGTGATGTGAAGGAATCAGGTATTGCCCTCACATTGTATTTACATTACCTTCAAATACAGGTACAAATACTTATTAGTACAAACATGCTCCCGGAGTGTCTTCTCTCTGCTGTTGTTTTCCGGCCCTCTTGTTTATTTCTGTGTTGTAGTGCTCGTCTGCTCCAGTGTGTAATACTACGTTTCAGAGGAGGAAGTAATTATGCTGCATCAAAAGTACTGGTTGGATGTTTTATGAGCAACCTGCAGTTTATTTGTATTGTGTGAGTCTTGGCAGACGCCGGCGGCAGACTCTCAGGCAGGGAGACAGAAATGTGAGAGCGGCCTGTGAACTCTCCGTCAGACCATTCAGTTATTTCCTCAGTGACTGAAAGTAAACAGAGCGAGTCTTTCTCGCAGGAAGTGACTCAACTCTCTTTGTGTCTCTTACTCACTTTCACCCTTTTCGCTCGCACGTGACCCCGAACGCTGGCGGACCAACGGTGCTGCGCACTCACTTTCTCCAGTCAGAGTCTCAGGTCAGTGTGCTACAGCAGTCCAATCAGAGTTCTTCGTCTGTCTAGACTAAATACTCAACTGTCTGATTCACTCTCATGGTACAAAAGTGTTTTTTATTTTATTTAGTCAATTGTATGTGTGTGCAGTCAAACCTTTCATTTTCCTCCCTGGTATTTTTCTTTTAATTTCTGTGAACTTCGTCTGTTTGTTTGACTTTTATTCTCGTCAAAGAGCTGTAGATTCATTATGATGTGTTGGACAGGACACACTTTACAAGATTAACATCGCCTGGAGGAATAAGATGTTTCATGGAGCTGCTATATTTACTTAAAGCAGATCGTGTGTCAGGATTAAGGCTTCCACATTTAGTTTATGAGTGGGTTTAACTATTTTAAGATGTTAAATTAATTGCAATATTTAAAGGTAATGTCAGCTCAGTTGTATTTTGGCAATCGTCCTTGTCTGGTGCTTTTGCTGACTCCACTCCTCCGCTTTATTCTAGAACTGAAAACGCAACAAGAAGTTAAAGTTTAAAGGTACAGTATGAAGGCAAAATCTAACTTATTAGCTCATCAATAGTTAAATAGTCCTTATGTCAAAGCATAGGGGAGAATGTATATTCCCATATTTACGTCTTAAAACACATTAATACACATTTAGCCTGCCTATGTTTATCTGATATAGTAACAGTAGCAAAGCCAGCTGCCTTCACAGAGTCTCAGATAAGAGAGAAAATTTAGTAAAATAAAAAAACCTATTACCTTTAGCCTCATATACTGCTCAGAAGTTATAAATAAGGTTACAAACATCAAAAAGAGTTAATAGTTAGTCAAAATAACATAGTCAAACTACAACAAATGATCAACTAAGACACAGATCAGACTTAGCTGGAAGATAAGCTAAGCTAAATTAGCTACAGGTCAGGCTAAAAACACGGTAAACAAACAAATGAACACATACAACAAACTTCAGTTGGATACAAAGAAAATACAAAAATTGAATAAAATAGTCAAATATAATGTATTAGTGAAACTGCAACTAAAAACGTCATTATACACGGCTGAAAGTTAAGCTAAGCTAAATTAGCTACAAACCAGTTTGGAAAAAACACCATCAAACAAAATGACCACGTAAAATAAACATTAAATTTGACAAAGATATAGTAGAACATTTTAAACTATATCATAACCAAAACGTAGCCAAACGTGGGAATGGCTTTATTTATAGAATTATGTTGTTAAAATATATAAAATCTATTGAGGATTCTATCTTTAAAGGCGATTTTCTCACTCTTAATGTTTATCTTTAATGGTTTGAATTGTTTTCACAGATGTTAGTGTTTAATGTCTATATTTAAAAACGTTTTTTTTACTATTTTAAATTTAATGTCTATATTTAAAAACGTTTTTGTTTTTTTTTTACTATTTTAAATATGTTTCCACCTACTCTGCTGTAGGTCTTCACAGTTGACTTACGACAGACCAAACAATTTGTAGGTGTTTAAAATGCTTTACATTTTTTTCTTTTTTTCTTTCCTTTTTTTAACAACAAAATGTTCTGTTGTCTTCTATTCCATTCTGTAATTTTATATTGTTTTGATGACAAACAGAACACAGGTATATATTTAAAAAGTGAGTTGTGTTTTATTTCCAGCGTGTGTGTCAGTGCGGGGGCAGCAGAGGAGCAGGGAGGCGCAAGAGGGAGGGAGAGAAGTCGGGGAGAAATAACCAACAAGGAAACCACTTGAAGCTCTGCAGGCTGGCCCTTTGCCAGCTCCTCTCCGGAGAGGGTTGGCTCACTGCTGCTCCTCTCTCCTCCCTCTCCTCCTTCTCTCTTTCCCGAACCCACATACGCACTCCCTGCAACTCTCTCCACAGCAGCAGGCCACAAGGAGGAAGAGGCTCCGCTTGCTCAAAGGTGCGACACTTTGGAAAGAAGAGCGAGAAAAGTGAGGACAAACTCCCGAAGAGATGAACAGAGGCTCGTGTTTGGAGATGAAAACAAGAAGAAAGTGAGGCTTGTTTCCCCCCCCAGGTTTGAGGAGAGAAAACGGGAGGTTAGGAGGACGCTGTCTCCGCCGCAGTGAGCGGAGGCTGGGGTTTGGAGATGAAAACAAGAAGAAAGTGAGGCTTGTTTCCCCCCCCAGGTTTGAGGAGAGAAAACGGGAGGTTAGGAGGACGCTGTCTCCGCCGCATGAAACGCCAGAAAAAGAAAACTTGCTACCAAACAAAGCGGGAGTTTCTGAGCTGGACCTGAAGCTGAAGCCGAGGAGTGTGAATGTCTTGGGCTGAGTGTGAGCAGCAGTGAAGGATGCCAGGATGATGCCCTCCTCTCTGATCCTCCATCTGCTCGTCCTGTGGCTCAGTGGTCTCAGGCTGGTGCGCAGCGTCGAGCGCTCCTCCACCCGGGAGCGCTTCAAGGTGGTCATCGCTCCTCTCATCTGCAAGAGGATCTGCTTGAAGGGCCACTGCCAGAATACCTGCGAGCAAGGCAACAACACCACACTGATAGCTGAGAACGGACAGGGGGCAGACACGCTAATCGGACCGGGCTTCAGGGTTGGTGAGTAGGGATTTTAGTCCGGGATCCAGAAGGTGGTTCTGGTCATTTGTTTTTCTTTTGTGTGTTAGAAAGTAAATAAGTAAATAATGTTCACCAAAGCACTAAAGAAGGCCAGCGTTTTTGTTGTCATTTGACACTGACAGCAAGGTGGCAGAGTGGTTAGTGGTGTTGCTGTACTGCATATAGGTTACTGGTTCCCACACTCTGGTCGATTTCTTTCCTCTCACAGTCCAAAAACATGCAAACAATTAGTTTTTGCATTGTTCACTCCAAACTTTGGTGTGAATGAGTATTAGTTTTTGCATTGTTCACTCCAAACTAAACTTTGGTGTGAATGAGTGTAAATGGTTGTTCGACTGTGTATGACGCCCTGTGAGGGAATGGAGAACATTGCAGGATGTAACCGACAATTGATCACCTGTTATTTAGCCTAATATCAGGCCTTCGGCTAGTAGGCTTTGCTTTTAGGTCGCAAGTTGAACTGAAGGATGTGATGTTAGTAATGGCATTGAAAATGTACGGAAGAAATAACGAACAGAGAGTTTATTCAATTAGATTGTTGTCAGCAGTAAATAGAATAAACCTCATTTTCCTCTAAACGGGATCGTAGCTAACAATATAAACACTGTGAAGAAAACAATGAGTGACCAAGACATAAAAGCTGTTACGAAAGTGTGTACGTATTTCCAACACTTGAATGAATAATTTTGATTTGACCTAAACTGACTTAGCAGCAGGTTTCACAATCGCAATGTTGAGTTACCTGCATGGAAGGTGCAGCTGTCGGATCAGTAACACGCATTTGAGTAAAAATAAAACCGCTCTGGAAATAGACATTGTGAAGAAGAGGACACAGTGTTTCTTTAGTACCAGCGGACATTCTTTGTAACTATATCGCCCTTGTTTAAACTGTCATAAATAGAACCCATAGCCTAGTAACTGTGATTATCTGAAGATATTTGAAAACAACTCATTATTCATTATCTTTTTTTTATGCCCTAATGTCGTGCGCATTTCTGCTAAATAAATGTGCACCAGGCGGTACATATGAGAAAAAAAGATCCTTTACTGACACTTTCTCCTTAAAAGGTCGTATTTTCTTTCCCTGCGGCCCACGTCGCTGTAACACCAGCTGCTGATACCCAGCATGAATTCACGACTTATGTCAAGTGGCTATGAACTTTGCTTGGTGTGGTTACGGAGAGGTGAGGCGGGTTAAGGGTGGAAAATGCACCCGTAAATTACACTTTAATTAGTGAAGCACGGCTCATTACACAGCGTATAAACGCACACTGTGAGATCCATACCCCACCCCCACACCCCATCCACCCCGACCTCCACACCCTTGACTCCAGTGTCTGGTGGAGTCCGCTGAGTGCCGCCTTTGTGTGCTGTATCAGATCAGCTGCGGTGAGAGACGGAGACTTGGAGTCTACGTCAGTCTCCGACACAGAACCGACTCTCACTGCTTTGCTTTGCTCTGTCCAGCTGAGCTTAGGAAGGAGATAAGGCACAAGATGAGACAGAGGGAGAGAGAGGGAGAGTGAGGGAGAGTCTGTGAACTTTGGTCTTCAACCCCAGTCTTTACTGATATGTATTAAAACGCGTGCCATCCAACCACTGAGCTGTGCTCCATTAGAGATTAAAAACACAAACGCAGACAGGAATGTCATTACTGCTCAGATGAAAAAACCTGTCTCCACCCGCTGCTGCGATTTACTGTATTATGAAAACATTAACTGAGCAGTAGGAGGGAGGGTTTGTTTTCTCTGGGAAATAAAAAAAAAAAAAAAAAAAAAAAACGGTCATGTGACCTGCGTGTGGGTACTCGTCACAGGTAAGCTCATTGTAATACTGTAAATAAGGAAATTGCTGTACACAAGGAAACTTTAGTGGTGAGATGTTCTTTGTTGAATTGTTACATCAATTCGCCATTAAAGATGTAGCTCCTATGTTGAATTGTTACATCAATTCGCCATTATTTTCCTCCTATTTAGAGGAAAATCAATTTTTTTTTTTGCCAGAAACGAAAAATGTTAGGGCTGTTTTCTCAGAAATGTACGTTCTAACAAAAATAATTTCACAACCAGTGGAGCCGCTTCCTGTCTACCTTTGGTGGCGTCACTTTTGCGACCAAGTGGCTACATCCGTTTCTTAAATACAGTCTATCATTTAGTCCTCATGTCTTTCTTTTTCTGTGCAGCACAGTCTATAACTAAAATCCTGCAAAAAAAAACAAAACCCTTGCACTGTAATTACAGCAGGCATTTAATTCTGTCAGTAATATTTGATTATGCAGAAAAACAAGTCAAAGTGAATGATGATGCGTTCAAGTGACGGTTTGATTCTATTGTGCACGGCCGTTCATAAATAAAATAAAATAAAAGACAGAGGTTTTGTAAATGATGTCATTAGTAGCAAATGCTGTCAGTAAAAATAAAAGTAAGATAAGAAATTTGATAAAAAGCAGCAGCTCGTGATGCAACAGTATCATGTACCGTAGGCATCACAGTAGGCCCAAAAAAAAACAACCAAAACCAAAAAACAAACAAACATTCTTCTGTGTTGCTCAACAGAGATTTAAAAAAAAAAAAAAAACCTCAGCTGCTTTGCAAAAGTTGCGTAATTGTTGCCTTTTTTAAAAAGAAATATATATTTTTTGACCAACTGTAAAATGATCAAACTCTGCTGCTGCTGCAGGGCAGCGGCAGTAAAAGAGTGATTTATACAGTATGTGCGCACGTATACATCTGTGGAGAAGCCAATTAAGACGCAGGTTAAGAATAAGTTTTGCGAGGTTCTAACTTTGCGTGGCGTGGTTGTGGTGCCTTTTTACACTTATCACACTGTAAAGTTGTGCCGTCCACAGGAGGTTTGTGATGCAGCTGCAGTCGCTCCAGCTGTTTTCTTCACTGAGCTCCGAGTGATCCTACGTTTACTGTAGCACCGTGACAGAACTCTTCCTTTTTACCACTGACGCAGGCCAAGACTTTGCTCATACCGAGCCGGGCTTCCTTCAAAGTCACTTCCCCCCCCCCATCTGCCGTGCTGGATTTTCGGGGGCTGTTGCCGCAAATAATCTGAAAGAGACCGAGATCTGAAATTCCAGAAATACTTTGCGTTTGTGCTTCACATTCTGTCTGGGGAGTGAATCTGTTCTGGAGTACAGTCACCTGTCTCCTGGATATCACAGAGCGGGTGTCGAGTGTCTGGGAATACTGTACTGGGTTTGAGGGGAAATGTGTGATGTTCAGCGTCAGGCCTGGAATGTGCTGCGGACAAGTGGAAATTTCTCTCTCCTGTGTCAAAACGGCCACGGCTGTAGCTGAGACAATACAAAGACTTTTTTTTTTTTTCTCAGTGATTCTGACGTCACAGCAAAAATGACTCAAACCAAACCTTCTGTGCCGGTTTGGGAAAGTACAGAAATAAGTCTCAGTGTCCTGGTTTACCTCAGTGCTACAGAGGGATTTCACAGTTGAAAAGTAAACAAGTTTTGGTTGTGTTTCATAAACAGGCTGAGAGGGGGTTTTAGTGGGATTCTATATCTGTGCTTTAACCCAGTGTATGGAGATAAAGAAAGTTGCTCTGTGTAGCCCAGTAGACATTTAGTATGTTGGTTGGAATTACATGGTGGAGAATGGATGGATGGTTGGATTCATGGATAGACGGATGGACGGGTTGATGGGTTGATTCCCATTTGTAGCCTTAACATGAAAACATGGAGAAAATCAACTGGACGATTGAGAATTATTTTTTAGTTTTAAAAATTTGATACATTTCTGTCATAAGTGCTAGGATGGAAATTCTGCAGTAACATTGTGCCTTTAAGGGCTGAGGAAATAAATCAGACATGTACATGTAAATACGACATACATGTCATCACTGGCAGTTATGTCCAGGATCATTTATTCACCGTAGAAACCACGCTGTGGAATCTCTAAGAAGGTCTCTACGGTCGCAGAGGTGGAAAATGTCTTTGCATAAACACAAAAAATTCTCTGCAATCCAATCGAACCATAAATGTCAATTAGGAGCTGTGCGAGTGTGTGTGTGCGTACGTGTGTGTGACGACCACCCAGATGTGGAGCATAGCAGATCTTCTCAGGCTGCTCTCGCACCAGGACAAATCACCTGGATGACAGGCAGCTTTGTAGTTTATGAGCTGTCGGACAGCTGAGCGTCAGACGTCGCAGGACGTTGTTTTAGGGTCAAGTTAGTCGGCGGATAGACGAGTCTTTGGGAACAGGTTTGTTTAAAGTGAAGTGTGTTCACGAAACATCACAGCTCTGGAAGTGAGCATCTGTCTTTATACTTTACACATGTTCTCTCTGCTCCGCAGCTCATACCACATATTTAGGAGATTAGGAAACTTTATCACTGACAGATCAACACTCGACAAATTCAAATGTGCTGCAGTAAAGTCAAATGTAGCGCTTGTTCTCCGCTCAGATGTGTCCAGGAAATCCACATGTCACAGAAGGATCAATATTTCTCTTGTACACTCGGATCGGACCAAAGCAACGGAAAGTTGAAATGCTCCCAGGCGCGTTGGCAGGCGGGAGGGGAGTTGAAACTTTTACGGCCGAGCGTGCACTGCTTTTTCTTCTCTCTCTTTTTTTTTTTTTTTTTTTTTTTCCCTTCTGCCATTCCACTCCGTGTGTATGGAAGTCATCACGGTGCTCAGGGTGGAGGCTGAGGCATTAGTTTTTATGTGCATCTACTGTTGTTAATTTACTTTTCACAGAGAATCAGGGCAGAGAAAAAGGCCGAGAAGAAGGATTGTATGTGACAATGGTGGAAATCCTTCGTTGCAGTATTTAAGGTTTTTCTGGACTGGAGGAAGCGATAAAGTCGACTTTGGAAGTTTTTTTTTTTCTAACTGATACTTTTGGTTTTGTTTTGCTTCGGAAGTTTGAGCGGTGACACAACTGTGGCAGATTATAGTGGTGCGGAGTGGCCGTGTTGTTTTCACATTTATAAATGTTAAGAAAGTTAAG